AAACTCCATTTCTGTCTTTCTGTAAATCATCACTTGGGCTTGTCCAGCGTATTTAGACCTAATTTATTGTTTCCTCCATTAAAACATGTTGAAGTTCTCCAGGTTTGGTCTGTGATGAATTAATTGTTGAGTCATCAGCATAAATGGGTATTTTAGATGGCACTAATGGCACTAATAAGTCATTTGTTTATATATAATCAAGGTCTTCTCAATTGACTTAACCGGTAAAATATTGAATAAATAAAATAAAAAATAGAAAACAGGAGTGGACCTAGACCGCCTCCCTGTGGTTCACCACAAACATCTCCCAGCTGAAAAACTTCCATTTAAACAGTTTGTTTCCTGTTTTCTAGAAAACTCTTGACACCAAAGTGATTCTGCTGAACTTAATCATAAAACTGCATTTTTCTAACAAAACGTCAATAAGATGAAAAGTTGAACTAAAATCTAATAATACTGAACCTGCCAGACGCTTATGGTCCTGAAAAACAATCACCTGTCCAAGTAGGCAGCAGACGAACTGGTTTATTGGGCCCCCACGGAGGGGCCCCCACGGAGGGGCCCCCACGGAGGGGGCACACTTGCACTCTGGTAATGGGAACATTTTGATATTTTCCAAAATTGTGTTTGGAACCTGTGTGTGTGTCTCTTAAGGCGGTCTGTGATGTGTGTATATATGTGTATGTGTATGTGTATGTGTGTGTGTGTGTGTGTATATATGTATGTATGTATGTATGTATATATATATATATATATATATATATATGTGTGTGTGTGTGTCTCTCTTAAGGCGGTCTGTGATGTGTGTATATTAGAGCCCGACCGATATATCGGTTGGCCGATATTATCGGCTGATATGGGCAACTTTAGGCATATCGGCTATCGGCCGATATTTCACGTGGGCATGTTATACCTCGTTATAAAGCTTAGACTCTCTACATTCTGTTCATTTAATCCAATTTACAGACAGATAAATGTCCTAATATGTGGCTCCACATCAGTATTTATCTACGGAGTCATTTGTCTGTGTGTCCGTACTGTCCCTGAACACACCACAGAGTCGCGTCACTCATGTGCGTTTGTTTACACCTGCAGACACAGATCCAAACACTGAGATTATTTTCTTTTTACGGACAATCGGTTTGAGTCTGGATTAAAAGGACATTTATTAGTGCAGATTTGTGATGTGAGGAGGAGCCTGTGTGAGCGGTGAGTGTTGGAAATACATCGACTCTGAAGCTAGTTTTTGTCATTTGTTATGGGTTAGCTGCTGTAGCTCCCGCACATAAACACACTGTTTTCTATTGGTCTGTTCTAAAGTGACTATATTGGCCGTATATTTGCTACTGGACCTGCACTGATATGTAAATGAGCTGTGAATAGACGTGTGAATTATGACATTTGCGCATATAATTAATTACCGCGGCGCGCACGTATTTACGGCTAAAGGCTAATAGCGCTACTTTCTTTACTAGTTATGGGTCGGTCGCGAACGAAATGACTCTTAGATCCGGCTCTTTAAAGGGAACAACGGGAGCCTGATCCTTATTGGGAGCCATGTTTTCTCTTTCTCTCACTTTTTTTCTCTTCACGCCGCGTGCAGACTCGTGGTTTGACAGCGGCAGCGGCTGAAAACGAAACTTTGAGAAATTTGCGTGTACGTAGGATTAAAAAAAATAAATATTAAAAAAATGAGCATATTTGACTGTAGTTTAGCATAAAATAAATAAGTCCCGGTTTAGTCCTTTTTCAGTCCTGGTTTAGACCTGGTTCAGTCCTGATTCAGTCCTGCTTTAGTCCTGCTTTAGTCCTGCTTGCAACAAAACAATCTGAAGAGCCACTTGGGAGCCAAAAGAACCAGCAGCTTTTAGTGAGCCGAGCCAAAAGAGCCGGTTCTCTAAAAAGAACTGGAATACCCATCACTAGTGTCTAGAATGTGATGCAAAAATGCCATTAAGTCAACCTACTGTCTGTAAATATGATGTAAAGAGGCAGAATAACAATAAATGTTTCCTAAATAAACCCAATTTAAAATCCACCAGAGCCAAACCTAAGTTTTTTAAACAATTCAACATTTACAGTGAATTTTTACATCATTAAATATATCGGCGATTATATCGGCAGCTCCAACTCCCATTATTTTGGTTTCATATCGGCCACAGCAAAATCCATATCGGTCGGGCTCTAGTGTATATATATGTGTGTATATGTGTGTCTCTCTTAAGGCGGTCTGTGTGTCTCTTAAGGTGGAGCCGGGTTTTGCGTACGCCTACACGCTGCTGGGACATGAGTTTGTTCTGACGGAGGAACTGGACCGAGCTCTCGCCTGTTTCAGGAACGCCATCCGAGTCAACAACCGCCACTACAACGCATGGTACTACAAATACTACTACTACTACTGCTACTGTTAATACTGCTACTGTTAATGCTACTACAACACATGGTACTTTTACTACTGCAGCTATGGAGCAGTGCGTCTGCTCACCTGTCTGCTCACCTGTCTGCTCACCTGTCTGCTCACCTGTCTGCTCACCTGTCTGTTCACCTGTCTGCAGGTACGGTCTGGGGATGATCTACTACAAACAGGAGAAGTTTAATTTGGCTGAGATTCATTTTAAAAAAGCTCTGAGCATCAACCCCCAGAGCTCTGTGCTGCTGTGCCACATCGGAGTGGTGAGTCCAACCTTAAACCCCCCAACACCCTAACACCTTAACACCATAATTCTGGTGGACTCTGGTCCTGGTTCTGGTCTGACTGTGGTCTTGGTTCTGGTCCTGGTCTGACTGTGGTTCTGGTCTTGGTCTGGTTCCAGGTGCAGCACGCTCTGCAGAGATCAGACGTGGCTCTGGAGACTCTGAACAAAGCCATCGGCATCGACCCTAAAAACCCTCTGTGCAAATTCCACCGAGCGTCCATCCTGTTCTCCAACGACAAGTACAAGGTACTGATACTAGTAGTACTAGTGATGATTACTGGGTCATTCCACCTCATTTCTTCAATTTGATTTTTTTTTCCTTTTGTGTC